ACACTAGTAATAGCATGTAACTGCAGAGCTGCTTTATAAGGGCAAGAACATTTCTTCTACTTGTTCTAGTTCAAACTGGCCATGATAAAACTACATGCTGATTTTCATTTATATCACTGCTCAAAATAATCCATTCTGAAAGAGGAAGAGATATTTTTACAGTCCCAATGAGACCAACTAAAATCTTTGTGTAAACCAAGTTGTTTTAGAAAGTATGAACAAAATATTAATAGATGAAACAGTTATAAGAAGTTGATGACAGTTGTTCTCTTCTGAACTTAGATATTTGATAAGAGCTGAGAAGACTTTAAAAGGACAAAAATTGATAATCCGGTTTAGTCCTCAAACACAAGAACACACACACAAAAAATCTGCTCATTGGGACAGAGGGGGTAGGTTGTGGGAAGTACAGCCAAGTAGGTATGATGGAGTTGGGATTTTCTGAGTTGGAAGACACCTTATGGAGCCACTCAGATTTACAGTTTTAAGATTGAAAAGCTGAGGCCCAGACAGAAGAGTGAGCAGCCCAAAGTCACATAGCCAGACAGGGCAGACCTGGAGCTTAACCCTGTAACGAATCTGCCGCATTTTCTCCTTCATCAACCTGAGTTTGTAGGACCATCTGAATGCTTTCACGCTTCAGTGCCCAAATGGGAGCTTATGGCACAAAACATAGAGCAATTTTTGCTCTACCCAATATCAAATTTTATGATAAAGTTACAGTAATTAAGGCCACAGGTATTGTTGCTGATGGGGTTCATAAAATACGACTCCACAATGTGGTACCGCGGCATTTGAAGAAACAGCTAAAGCAGGAAGGTCACTCTCACCTTTCCCTCACCCTTCTCCCTCAGAGCAGGTCATAATACCTTCATTCTAACATCCCTATACCTAGAGGAAAGGAATATCCTTATCTTGACGACACAAAGACACCAAGAAGAATCTGAATAAACAGTCCTTGCTAAGTTCCCCCCAGTTTATAACCATCAGATCATACCCCCTTTGTTCACTCATACATCTGTGCAAGACTGTCTGCTCTTCATCAAACCTAAGCATAAAAACACACGTTTCCCTGTTTCTTTGGGTCTTCATTTCCAAAGGCAATCATGTAAAACTCAAATTAAATAAATTTGTATGTTTTATCATGTTAACATGTCTTTTACTACAGGTGTATCAGCTGTGAACTTTGTGGTGGGTAAGACAAAGACATTACTTTTTCTCCCCTACATTGCAAAGCTAGACAAAGTGATTCGTGGAACACAATAGAGGGCCCAGAAATTAGACCCACACACGTATGGAATCTTGATGCATGAAAGTGGTGATTTTCAGATCACAGTGTATTGAGGGCCAATAATTAGTGGTTGAATAAATGGTTATTCACTACTTCAAACTATACACATACACAAAACAATTCCAGGTCTGTGAAATGCAAAAAAACAAAATTTCAAAACGTTTAGAAGAAAAATATGTTTATGACATTAGGATAGGGAAATATTTCTTAAACAAAACACAAAATCACAAACCATGAAAGGAAAAGTTCATTAATTGAATTACATTTTTAAAATGCATCGAAGGACACATAATATGTTTATATAAGTA